TTCGGATAATTTGTTCTGCATATAGGTGGAAAAGGTATAGGCCGAAGAAAAATAATCAAATTCAAGTTTTGTGATACGAAATAAGATGCTTTGGCACTACTGTACAACTTCTGGATAGGAATAGGACAGGGGAAGATTAGGGAGAGAAAAATTCTGTTAAGAGTGAAAGCATGAGTAAAGGAAAGTTATTCTAACAAACATTTAATGAGTTGGGCAAAGAAACAAAACCTCTCAAATGGGAAAATGACATCTTCAACAAAATGATTCTAGCAAAACTGGACTGCTACCTGCAGAAAGCTGAAGCAGGAACCGTATCTCACATTATACACAAAAAAATCAACTTGAGGGTAAAGTTCAAAACCATACAGATCATAAGAGACAAAATGGGACCAAGCTTAGAAGGCATAGCCGATAGCAAAAAGAGGCTGACAAATACAGGCAGAAATGTACAACCAGGAAAGGATAAAGTTGATGAAATGAACCTTTTAAAATTAAACCCCCATGTGCATAAAAAACCTTTTCCAATAGGGTGAAAAGAAAATGTATCTACTGAGAAAAGACATTTGGCAATACCATCTCAGACAAGGGTCTTACAACAAAAGTTTACAGAAACTCCTGGGCCTCCACAGGAAAAAGTCTGAAAACACAATTCTAAAATGGACAAAATACATAGAAGGACTTTTCACAGAGGAAGACAATTTGATGGCCAACAGACACTTGAAGAAATGCTCAAAACCACTGGCAATAAGGGAGATGCAAATCAAAGCCACAATGAGATACCATCACACTTCAGTAGCAGTGGCAAAGTTTTTCAGGGCAGTGAGCAATAAATGTTGGAGAGAATATAGAGAGATAAAAACTCGGTTACACTGTAGGTGAGATTGTAAAATGGTACACCACTCTAAAATGTAGTTTGGCTTTTATTCTAAAAGCTGAACATAACTGGAAAAGCCTGAAGGCTTTTTTACCAAGACTGTTGATGTTAATAGAAACACATGCCCATCTGTGATTCTACTGTGCCAATAAAATTCATGAATCTCTGAGTTAAGAAAAAAAAAGCTGAACATAGAAAATCCTTATGACCCAGCTATTCCACTACTAGGAATACACTCCAAGGAAATTATAACTGAGACACAGATGGAGATTTGTACACCAATGTTCACAGCAGTAGTATTCACAATCTTAAGAACATGGAAACAGCCCAAATGTGCAACCACAATCAAATGGCTTGGGAATTTGTGGTATATTCAAACGATGGAAAACTATGCACACTCAGGATCAATAATTTTGAAAAAACTACATAACTTGGGAGACACTAGAGAGCATTATATTGAATGAGCTCAGTCTCATAAGGACAAATACTGCGTAAGACTATTACTGTAAAAAATTGATGAATAACTAGTAAAACGTGTATGGGGGTTCAAGGAGGGAAGGAAAGGGAACAAAGAAATGAGAGTGGGCAGGGGGATATCAGGGATTTGCACAATTTGGTGGGTAGATGAAGGGGGTAAAGGAAGTGGAAAAGATCTGGTGAGGACCAGAAAAGATAATTATGGGTATTGTTCAAAGGTGACTGATTTTATAAAACATAATGTATGGGAATGATTGTATGAAATACAATGTGAATGAAGGAAAGCGTGAAACACAATGTATATGAATTTAGCATGCAAACCAATATAAAAGAAACACTTCGAAAACTCAAAAAACATTTAGTGAGGGCCATCTCTGAACTGGGTGTCAATTCAAAGGCATATACTAACCATATAAAGTAAACATATAAATTAAAATGCTAATATAGATACATATGAATGAAAGCAAGTAATAATTATGTTCCTGAGAAATGTATAGGAGGATCTGGTTTAGTTTGATGAGAGGAAATGAGAAAAATGAGTCTGAAGAACTAACATTTTTTAGTTAAGCTCTTTTAACTAGTTGTGTATGAGGTAGATTACATGCAGAACGAACAATACATGTAAAGTTCATGAAGCAGGAAAATGCCTGGTGGCTTAGAAAGTATAGAAAGTTTTGTTGTGTTTTTTTTTTCTGGATGAAAGATTGCCATATTAAAAGCATAGTTTACAGAGACCCTTTTATTAAGACACAAAAATAGGGAAAAGAACAGAATTGTTCTGGAATGAAAGAAACTATTAATTTGATGTTGAAAGAATTTCACTGAATCACAGTTATGGTGTTCATATACATGATTAGAAACAAAGAAAACCATCACTGGGTCTTAATTGGTGGCAGTTACAATCCAGCAGTATATATATGTGTGTGTGTGTATATACACACACACACATATCCATAATAACAAAAAACAAAAAC